ATCAGCTGATGACATGGCTCCCCAAATCAACACAGACTGTGGAAACTTCACACTGGACTTCAAGCATCTGGCATTGTTCCTCCAGACTCTGGTTCCTTGGTTTCCAAATGAGATGCAAAAGCTGCTCTCCTCAGAAAAGAGATTTGAGGAGCCATGGAAGGAAGACTTAAAATTTACAGCGTGTTGTTCATTGAAGGAAAACTATATGAAAATGATGCATAGATGGTGTTTAACACCAGTAAAAATTAGCAAAAATGTATAGAAGTGCTTCTAATGTATGTTGGAAATGTAAAAAAAAAAGAAAGCACATTATATCATATGTGGTAGATGTGTAAGATAACTAAAGCGTTCTGGGAAATGATATATAATGAATTAAAGAAAATGTTTAAAATAACATCTGTGAAAGAAACAGAGGCATTTTTGTTAGGCATTTTAGGTACAGAGATTCAGAAAGAGCAGAAATTTATGGATGCGATGACAGCAAGAATATTACTGGCCCAGAGATAGAAAGAAGATAAAGTTCCAACCAGAGAAGAATAGCTAAGAAAGATGATGGACTATGCCAAAATGGCAAAACTGACCGGAAGAATCAGAGACCAGGATGAGAAGAAGTTTAAGAAAGAATGGGGGGAAATATATAATTTATTGAAGAGAACACTGTAAATTAAAAACTTTGGCAGGATTAGACTAATACTTGTAATGTACAAAATACAATGGAAAAAGGTAATAATATTACTAACAAATTAGATAAAAACAGATAAGCGAAAAGAAAAAGGGATTGACATTGAAAATCAAAGAAGGGCGATGGGAAGTCTAGGGATTCTGAGAATCCCAAATGTGAAGGTGAATGATATGTTTAAATTGAAATATGTTATGTAAAACTTGCATGGACTGACATCGGATGATTTGGAAACACAACCAAATATACTGATGTATAAAATTACACGCACATGTGATTTGAAATCTGGTGGAGCAACCCTGCTGAGTTTTAAGCCAGTAATAATAATAATAATTTATTATTTATACCCCGCCCATCTGGCTGGGTTTCCCCAGCCACTCTGGGTGGCTCCCAACAGAATATTAAAAACACGATAAAAAAAATCAAACATAAAAAATTTCCCTAAACAGGGATGCCTTCAGATGTCTTCTAAAAGTCGGATAGATCTTTATTTCCTTGACATCTGATAGGAGGGCATTTCACAGGGCAGGCGCCACTACAGAGAAGGCCCTCTGCCTGGTTCCCTGTAACCTCACTTCTTGCAGTCAGGGAACCGCCAGAAGGCCCTTGGAGCTGAACCTCAGTGTCCGGGCTGAACAATGGGGGTGGAGATGCTCCTTCAGGTATACTGGGCTGAGGCCATTTAGGGTTTTAAAGGTCAGCACCAACACTTTGAATTGTGCTCGGAAATGTATTGGGAGACGTGCTGTAGTGTGCACACAACCATAGTTTCAGTCATTTGATCTTTATGTGGGTTATAACTTGAAAAGAAAGGGTCATGAAATTCTGCATTTTACCTTTAGATAACATAACTAACTAATAATTTCCCCCTACTGGTTGAACTTCCAGCACCTACAGAAGACATTTATTTCAGGAAGTTTTTAATTGAATTCTGATTTTATAGTTTTAACTCATTTACATTGTATTGAGTCTCCTCAACAGAGATTACTTAGAGATTATTGTAATCAATTTGTATATAAATTGTTGAACTGAAACATTGTCCTATGCATCTGGAATGGAAGGGAGTTCCATAAATGGGGTGCCATTATTGAGAAAGCCCTAGTTAATGTTATTGCACAACATGCCAAACGACTGGTAGAACAAGAGGGGCCTATCCACCCAATCTTACGTCCTTTGATTGATGTCCCAGATTGATATAGGGAGAAGTGCTCCTTGTAGAATTTGGGTCCCAGGCCATTTAGAGCTATATAAATTAACACCAACACCTTGACTTGGGCCCAGTAGCATGTTGGCAACCGGTGTTGCTCTCATGAAATTGATAGGTCATGGATGCAGTTGAATCTACCACTTAGCATTTTAGCGGCTGCATTCAGGACTGTAGCTTCCAGACTATTTTCAGGGGAAGCCAACTGGGAAGTTATCAAGGTATGGGTTACTGTGACTAAAGTATCCTGGACCAGGAATAGTTATGGATGATAATAGGCATTCCTAGTCACTGAAGCTGCCTGGGTCTTAAAACGATAGTGATGGCTTGAGAAGTACCTACTCCTTCAGTGGAGTGGAACACCATGAAGAACAGATCATACATCGAGTTTCCACATCAAAGGATTACCTGCCCCAGTACGTTCATCTTGTCACGATTCACTCTCACTTCATTGACCCTCATGCAGCCCATTCCAACCTCTGGACACTGGTCCAACACTTGTGTGGCTTCACCTGATTCACATGTTATTAAAAGATGGAGATCACAAGGGGGAAGATGATTAGTCTCCTAGTCTCAGCCCTTCATAGCCCCAACCTCATTTGCATTTCTAAAAACATTTAAGCAACTCATAGAGACACATTTAGCTTCAGATGCAGACAAAACAACACAGACTCTTGAGAAGCAGCCTTAGGCAACTGTACCCTGAAATAAACCCTACCTTACACAAAACAATGTTGTGCTTTATTTTACTTTCTAAGAACTTGTCACATATCAGAAAGAAACCTATCTCATGATGCAACAATGGGGGTAACCACCACAGAAATAGATTAGAAATTGCCCTATGTGCCCCAGTGAATTTCTGTTATTATGGGCACGCATGCCATTGATGTTATATTTAACAGCATTTTTGCACTTTTTTCATCTCTCCCCCCTCACATAAAGCACACCAATGCACACATCTGTGTATAGACACATTAGATCATTATTGGTAATGCTGTCAGTGGCATATACAATAGGATACTTAGCCATATATATATATATATATATATATATATATATATATATATATGAATCCCAGTGGTGCAGTGGTGAGGCCCAGGAATACAGAAATGGTAATACCTGAGAAATAAGATACGTTCAAGGAAGATTTTATTATGCGAATGCACAGGAGGGCAAAATTAATGTTCCTCAATCAACCTTCATTTACATTTCTTAACTTTAAATTCACAAACTTAATATTCATGTAAATTTTAATTAGTTTTCAAGTCAGATAAAAGTGAGAAAGACAATCCCTGCACACTTCTAATGAACCAGCATGTTGTTCAAACAACTCAGCAAGATTAGCTAACTCTGCCAGAATTTAGAATAATTCATGCATTGCTGGTAGACTTTCCAGAATGTTCAGACTATTTCCACAAATACTAGTGCCCTAATTATCTAATTAAATAGGATAGGCACTCCAATTATAAATCTTACATTCGCCCTAGGAGCACAATTTCTTTTTTCTTTTTTTAGAAGAAACTTTAGCCCGGTTTTATACCTTTGACTTTTCCATTGGAGGGTCCCAAAACGATTAGCTTTACTTGGTAATTAAGCCTTACAGGGTGATTTTGGCCTTCATTAAGGGCTTTAACTCTGATATTTAGTGCAGGCATGGGCTGGCAGAGAGGCGAAATAAGTCTGTGCATAGGTTCAGCAAAGCACATACCATTCTATAACTGTTCTCTCCTGTGTAAATTAATGCAGCAACAGTATCTCTACATGAATACCAATTCAAGTCTTCCTGTGATTAGGACCGACCCTACCATGGGGCAGAGTGAAGCAGAAGGCGGAATGTACTAGGGATGTGAGTCCCAGAAATAGCCCCCTAATAATTTAAAGGCATGGACTGTTGGATGGGGTGGGGGGGAGGGAAAACACCTGGGTAGGAGGAAGCATAGAATGGCTGGAAAAGGAGGACAGCCAGCCAGAGACAGACAGACAGACAGACACACACACACACACACACACACACACACACAGTTGTCTGAATGGGTTCATGTTGAGAAGCTGCTTTGAAATGTCCTCATGTACGGAACTAAGAGCTGCTCTTAGAAATCAATGGAGAAATCCAATATTTTAATATTGCTGGAATTGGGCCCCACATCTAATTCCACCCATCTCCTTTAAAAAAAAACTCTAAAATGTGGAAGAAAAAATGAAAAAGTCTCTGCCCTTTCCAACTCAGCTCTAGCATCAAATTTTCTTAACAAAAACTGGCCAATGCAAATTCTAAAGCAAATGCGGTTCATTATCCCCAGATTCCATTGGAAGTAGCTGTTTCTGTAAAAGAAAGGCATACGGTGGTTCTGTGGTTTATTCCACACTAAATACTGCTAGTGAGGCTTTGAGTGGTTTGAAATTACTTCACAGTGATGTCTAGAGGTATGAGACCCCTTGTTGCAGGTTGGGCTGAATACAGGAAGGTACACGAAGCTGCAGTGTTATCTGCAGGTGGGACTAAAAGAATCAGGCAGGTTTGGATTCCAGTAAAAAATCTCCAGACCTCTCAGGTTGGAACAAAGGCCACAATCTATTTACACTTCCCGCATACCTCCTCCCTGGACAAATCAATTGTATTCAGAAGCCTTGTGCAGATTCACTGTATTTTTTAAATGTTCAAAAATGAGATGAGGGCTGAGATAGAAATGAAAGAAAAACAGCTTTCACATGTAAGTAAGGCCTAAGATAGAACAGGGCAACCTGTCTTCAGTGGTAACTTCTGTTTTTTTCCTCACCACCCGAAACTACAGACCCACTTTGTTTCAGATTCCCACTTGCCTGTGTTAGCTCCTACTGTATATGTGGAATTGCCCATTACATGGTGGGGAAATTGTCCATTTCACAATGTGAGGCCACTTAGTGTAATGAAACACTTTTCTTTCATAACTGGATGGAATTTCAGTCCATTTCATGAAAAGGAGACCATGTTTCTCTCCATAATGCAACTCTTTCGGTCATAACTCTATTGATGTCGCCAAAGGCAACTTTGAGAAACTGCAGAAAATGGATGGAGGTCATCTCTTCAGGAGCCATAATAATAATAATAATAATAATAATAATAATTTATTATTTGTACCCCGCCCATCTGGCTGGGTTTCCCCAGCCACTCTGGGTGGCTTCCACAGAGACCAAAAATACACTAAAATATCACACATTAAAAATTTCCCTGAACAGGGCTGCCTTAAGATGTCTTCTGAATGTCAGGTAGTTGTTTATCGCTTTGACATCTGATGGGAGGGCATTCCACAGGGTGGGTGCCACTACCGAGAAGGCGCTCTGCTTGGTTCACTGTAGCTTTGCTTCTCACAATGAGGGAACCGCCAGAAGGCCCTTGGCGCTGGACCTCAGCATCCGGGCAGAACGATGGGGGTGGAGACGCTCCTTCAGGAACTCTCAGGAAACTGGAAGTCTGGAACCAGAGCCAATCAGAGACAAATTTCAGAGTTTCTCAGGCCTTCTACATGTTACTGCTAACCGAATACAAAAAATAAAATAAAAAATAGATCAGTAAACACTCCCCCAGCTGTTCTGGAAATACTTCAGACGAACTAGACTATCTACCTAGAGGTTTGACCTTAGTTGGTACACTGGATGTCTAAAACGCCATACCTGTTGTTCAAAAACCTCTTGTAGCAAGGCGTGAGGATGCTCACCCTGCTAACTGAATCTTCCCTATATTCACCAAGTTCCACTTCATTTTTCATAAGTCTCAGTCCAGATCCATCTTTACCAAACATGATTCTTGGGGATATGAAGTCTGTTTGGAGCTGGTCATCCTGCCGAATGCCTATCTAGTGTATACTGAACCATGGTGGCAGTTCTGTAAATAAGTGCTCTACAAAATATGGCAGGGCAGTTTCTCATAGGATTTACAATCCACATCAGCCTTCCTTGGCTGCCCTCCAAATGCTTTGGACTGTAACTCCCATCAGTTCCAGCCAGCATGGCCAGTTGTCAGGAATGATGGGACTTATAGTCTGAAACAACTGGAGGGCATCAGCAGGGCCAAATTAAGACATTTAGGGGTCCTAAGCACTGAAATGATTATGCCCCCCGGATTCCGTCAACATTTTTCTGATAAAAATAGGGGTGGCTTTTTCCATTACAGTGGTACCTTAGTTGTCAAACAGCTTGGCTCCTGAACAAATTGGCTCCCGAATGCCGCAAACTCGGAAGTGAGTGTTCCAGTTTGCAAATGTCTTTCGGAAGCCAAACGTCTGACACAGCTTCCACGGCTTCCAATTGAGCGCAGGAAGCTCCTGCAGCCAATCGGAAGTCACACCTTGGTTTTAGAACCGTTCCGGGAGTCTGTTTTACATAGCTGTCAACCTTCCCTTTTTGTGTGTGGGAAATTCCCTTATTCCAGCACCATTTCCCGCTGCTTCCCCCTGCTATCCCGGATTGTTAGATATCCCGTAGACTGTCCCTGGGACAGGAGAGGCTGCTGATCCCTTATTTTCAAATCTGAAAGTTGACAGCTATGCTGTTTGACAACCAAGGTACTACTGTATTATTATTATTATTATTATTATTATTATTATTATTATTATTATAAATAGGGACATTTTACCATACCCTCCAACATTTCTCCGATGAAAATAGGGACATCCAAAGGAAAGTGGCACGTTCCAGCATCAAATCAGAGACCAGGACAGCTTCTATAAATCCAGGACTGTCTCTGGAAAATAGGGGCACTTGGAGTGACTGTCCCTGTATGTGATTCAAAGTAACAACAATACTAAACTGTAAATTTAAAAGTAGTTGTTCGCAATAACACAAAGCGTTCATTTCTGCTGAAATTAAAATAGCTTCTTTCTGGATTTTCTGATTGCAAATTTCTGGATAAATCCATCTAAGCTGACTCAACAAAGCATGTCTATTTCTGCACACAGCAGGGAAAGTAAATCGAGTCTGTCTTGATACATTGTTGTTCTCTGAAGGTTTTTTTAAAATATTATTTTCTGTTGAGAAAATGAGTATTCTATGGAGCAGGTAGTAATCCTCAGTGTTAGAAAAATGATGATCACTTTGATGCTCTTTTTGAAATATCAAATGTCAAATTCTTTTTTTAAAAAAGTAAATCTCTTTGTATGTGTGTTCTTCTGCTTTGCTGGTGCCTTAAGTATGTGTTTGGTCTGCATGTTGGGTGACCAGTCTGTGAAGAGATGATCTGTAGCATATGGACCAATAGTTCTTTGTTCTGATCCATGATGGTTGACTCTGGGTAGAGATAAGGCTGCAACTTAACAATACAAAACTTCAGTTCTAGAATACCTGTAGGCGTCATAGCAAACAATGATTGCTAGCAGTGGTGTAATATATTTTCTTGAATTTTACATAACCATTTGTTACACAAATGCACCCAGAGCAACAAGTGTTAGTGATTAGCCTGGTCAAAATGCTACAATATTAGCAAAATATGAACTTTGGTTCATCGGTTGTTTTTTGCTTAAATATTATAATATCTTCAAGCAACGCAGTGAAAGCAAACATTTTTATATAAGAAGATGTGACCACAAAGGTCTGATTATTTCTCTTCTAGCAATTATGGTTTAGAAAACCACAGTAAATTGAAATATATTTGCTTTGCTCTATCTGCAGCAGATAGACTTTTTGAAAACATATTGCAGGGGGGAAATGATTTTCTTTACCTTATTTTATACACTTTAATTCCCAGTGGCATTAACACTCTCATTTATATTTATAATGTTACAAAATGTACCATCTGTCATGCTAGCTGTGGGAGGCCAGATTATAGTACAGAATAATATGATTCATTTTTAATAGAAATCACTACTGGTTAATTATAATGCGAAGTGTCTCTTGGAAATGGAGCAATTATTTCACTGGTATTTTTGAGGCTGGCAAGTCAGACGGACCCATACTTCCCTTTGTCATCTTCAGTTTTGCTGAAAATGGTACAATATGATTCAAAATTAGCTTTCACCTGCTCTTTGCAAACACATTTTTCGATTTCTAGAAGTGAGTGATAATTTCTATGTAAAACATTCACAGTTGGGTGACTTCATTGGCTGTTGTTGTATCTGGTACTCTTGCCATGCAGATGAATCTCAACTCTAGCACTATTCAGCTATGACCTGTTCCTTTTCAACCAGTCTGCATTTATTTCTTCATTGTTTTCCTGATCTCTTTCATAGGTGAATGGCTGACTTTCTTCTGGTAAAATGTTACAAGAGATCAATTCTCCCCTTGCATCTTTGCTCAGTTCCCCTTCCTACTCACTTTCACATTGCTGCCACTGCAAACACTGAAGAATGATCACTCCAGCAGGGGCATAGGAAGAAATATTGCAAACTAGGGGCGAGGAGCAAAAAAAGAAAAAGAAAAAGAAAGCATGCTCCCTTCCGGCAGATGGCTCATTATGAAACCTGAAACCTGTTTTGTTAGGTCTCCTTTCTGCATGGAACCCTCACAGCGAAATGCCCTGTTAAGTAGGGAGCAAAAAGCTTATGGGGAGCCCATCAGTTTCTTTTGATGATCACAGAAAAAAAAGAGAGAGGGAGGGGTTGATGTGGGGGGAAATGGATAATTTTATTTTGTTTGTATATTTACGAGAAACTAACATAATTTTCTTTCGAAATTTGCACATCTTCAAATTCTAATACACCATAAAATAACTTAAAAATGAATCAGTCAATGTATTTATTATGGTCAACGGCCATTATTCAGAAAGAAACTTTGTACAAATATATAAAATAATTCAAAAGAAAACAAAGAAAATGAATTATATTAGGGGAAATTGCTTGCAAGAACTTGTTTATTAGTCAAAACTGTGCACAAAAATGTGTAGGGGAAATTCACACAGAAATGCTGATGGATGGAGTTTGTTTGTTTGTTTTAAAAAAGCTCTGGAAAAAATGGAAACTGAGGGAAACCAAAATTGACTGACTTGTCAGGCCCTAATGTCTTATTATTTTCCCACATCAAAAACTAATGGCAAACTTTTTTAGACCATTGATAAACACTGCTTATGTCCATGGAATATTCTGACCTTACTTTTTTTTATATATTGTTCTGTTTTCCCCATTTTCATTAAAATTATTTACAGTGACTACATTTGGGCAAGAAGGAGCCTAGTCTCCTGCTGGGCTCAAATGCTCCTCTCCATCCTTGACTTCTTGTGTAGCTACAAAGAGATTGGAATATTCTATTCTAGATTAACCACAGTTTAGTGTGTCATGCTTCTACTAACCATAGTCCAGAAGATTAACCACAGCTTGTCTGGGTTTGGATGCTGCAGCAAACTGCAGTTAATCATGAACAGAAGCAATCATGAACAGGGACTAATTCTTGTAACTGTAAATTATGGGTTAGCAGTATCTCTGAAGAAGTACGGCATGCGTCTTATCTCTCTTTGAGCTCCCTTGACGAATCTGGGGGCACCACACAAGATTATTTATGGATCTATGAATAATTTCTGCTCCCCTCACTTTCTTATCTTTTTAGTTTACAACCATTCATTTTCATGGCCTGTTTGGCACATGGCTAATCCAGAAGATAAACTTGAAATCCCTGCCATCGTTCATGGGAAAACAAGCAACAGTGATATTTTCCCCTGCCTAGAAGAACAGCTGATCACTTCAGACAAACACCAAATAAAGCACTCACCAGCAGATGGGGCTTCAGGAATAACTGGGTCCCTTTCATTACCTGCCACTCATCTGTCACATATCATTTCAAGATTTCCCCATCTGACAAATGGGGGAAAAACTTTCATATTGCTATATATAATTCAGGGATTGATGTGAGCAGCAATAATAGTTCCTGCAACATGTCCAGGGTGACCAACATTCCAAAATCCTCATGTGGTCACATGGTACATCTATTGCTGTTGTTGAATTGGTTCTTATTAGGGGCTCTCTTCAAAATCTGACACAATGACTGCTTCTGTAAAACAATGGGGTGTTGGAGGAGGAGCTGGATCTCCTGTTGCCATTGGTGGATTGGGGAACAACATGGGTATGAACTCATGGCAACAGGAGCATCCCTCTTGACACTGGTCCAACAGTGGAGATAGGGCAGGAAGCAGTAGGATGGATGGCTTGCCTATAGGCATTAAAGACAGGCAACTCTAGACAGAGAATGACTGAATTGTGACTCTCGGTGCACTCTAGAGCAGTGTTCTTCAACCTCTGGTCACCATATGTTGTTGGTCTATGAGTCTGATCATCTAAGTCACCTATGTCAAAGGTTAGGGATGATGGGAACTGTAGCTGACCACTTGGGGACACAAGGCTGAAGAACACTGCTCCAATGTGTTTATTTGCCTTCTTAAATTTCTATCTGACCACTCTTCCTATCATGGAACCCAAGATGGTGTACAGTGGTTCCCAAGCAGTAACCCATCCAGGCACTAACCAGACCAAGACCTGCTTAGCTTCAGCAAGGGAGTGGCCTCATGTGCACCCAGACCATCTTCTGGAAGAATAGCACAATTCAATCCCTGCCTTCTAAGAGCTGAGGCCTGTACTTGTAGGCTACAACAGTATTTCATGCCTATTGTGTGCTAACAACTGTACAAAGTATTAATGCTACAACTGTACACACACTCACCTATGAATAAAGTCCATTGAGTTAGGTGGGACTTACTTCTGAGTAAATGCCTCCTTCTCCTTTATTTTCTGGCATGAGGTAGGGTGTGTGATGTCATGACACCTTAAAATTCCACATCCTAACCGGAAGCAGCCAATGAAACGGAACAGGCATGGGAAAGTGTGCAGCATGGTAATATTATTTTATACTTTATACATTACTAAATATTAGTAGAAGAAAAAGTAGAAGGAAGAGGTGGAGATAAGGAGGAAAAAATGAGGCTTCTGTTTGCTACAGCAGCCACCCATCTCCCAGAATGTCTAGTGTAGTGAAATAGCACCAATTCAATTTTGTTCATGTTTAAAGTAGAACTTTTCTAATTGCACTTTCTGAAACACAGTCATTCCATGTGATTCACATGTCTCTGAATTTTTGCAATGGAGTTCTCCACCCGAGCAATGTGTACAAAATACGCAAATTACACATATTAGTGAGAAGAAGGTACAAAAATGTGTTATATTAGGGAAAATTGCCTACAAACGTTTGTGTATTGGGAGAAGTACGTTGTTGACTTTGCATGGGAACTTCACAAATTCACAAACTGATGCAAAATTGTGGAGAACTGAACTTAAGATTGGAACAATGAGTTACTGAGAGAAATTGAAATGGACTGATTCATTCATCCTTCAACTAGTGCCAGTTTGAGTTTATTCACGATAAGAAAGCTACCTATGTAGAGAGAATCTCATTTGTTGTTCTTCATTTTGCTGTTGTTGTTTTAAAAAATATTTCAAATAACATATGACAACACAAAACTTGTAGTGCATTCACTCTGTGATCTACAATCAAAGGTCAAATGTTAAATAACACTGAACCTCCGTATTTGTGAAGCAGAGGCAGATGATTCTGAAACTTGAGAGTATATTGGGGGGGGGGTTTCTGACTTGAAACACTTTTTGTGGTTTTGAAAAGCTGGACCCATGATCTAAAAGCTCATTTAGAACTGGCATTACCATTTCCTTCCTTCTCACACGTCAATAATTTTCTTGGCATAACTCTTTCTGTAATGCTGGTACCCAAGCCATTTCATTTATCAGTGAAACTAGGCTTTTGCTATATGTAATACAATTAACTGGAAAGCTTTGTGAGGACGTGCCAATATATTCTCCTCCTTTCCAATCTTTCCCCCAATTCCTACCCTTAAGAACATTTTCACCATTCCAAAATAACTCATTTTCTCTCTCTTTTTTTACATAAACATTAGGAAGACTAGCCTGATTGTCTGATTTAGTAACAAATGACATCTGGACATTTAGCTCATCTATCACCCAAAGAAATAAAAATATCATCCTTATATGAGTATACCGCTCA